TAAGTGGTAGTTCTGCCATTCCCTTCAGCAGGCGCAAATGCTAGGCTTCTATCTCTCCATGGTGTTGGCTGAGAAGCTCTGGAGGGATCTCTTGTAAGTTGGTCGTAATTTTCTTCAAATAAGGAAAATATTAGTGAAAAGTATTTTTTCTTCCTGGAGATGCAGGTCTTCTGGTCATTGGCAAAAGAGGCAGAGAACTACAATTTTTCTTTTCTTGACTTTTGTATATGTCTTGCCCTTAATTCAGCAGTGTCACTTGTACTGGTCAAAGGAAATTAAATCTTACTGTTCAGTCTGACTGCTTTTTCACTCTGGAGATTGATGAACTTGAACCATCCCTCATGTCACTGTCAGATATCAGATGATTCTTTAGGCTCAAAATGTTACCAGGTTCCTTGGAAAAGGAATAGGCCAAGTTTCATTATCGCATACTAAGTGGAAATTAGCCTCCATGGAATGACTATTCTATGGTGAACCAAGTGAAACACCCTGAATTTAGTCCCTCCACATTTAAAATGACAGATTTTTAAAGGTAAATTGGCTAGTGCTGAAGAAAGCTGATGGACTTGTTCATGTTTTTCAACTGGAGTACATTTGAAAATATTTGGCATGCAAGCCAAATTCTGGAAAAGTTCAAGTTTTATGCAGCTGTTTTCTTGAATAAAGTTTTCATTTTGGTTTCATCTGGACAATTTGCCTTATTTTGCCGGTTATTTTCAGTGTCAAAAGCCATCAGCAGAATGATACATGTCCCTGTGGGTGAAATCTCATCCACATAACTCAGTATTTTCACAGCATTGCTCAGCTGGGTTGTTTTATTAAGAGGAAAATGAAACTTGGAAAACATTTCCACCTCCATAATGTACATCTTAAATTTTAAATTAAAAAAAACCCCAACAATTCCTATCTGGCAAAACCTGATTCCTGTATTTTCCAGGCATTATGTGACTACTTAATCGTTCCTTAAAATAACATATGAGACATTAGAAATTTGTTTGTGGAGATGTGAGAATGGCTCTCTGATTTCCAGTGTTGATGTGTTTTCAGCATCCCGTGTATTGTGTGAATGTAGTTGGAACACAGAACGCGCACAATCTCATTACCGTCTCTACAGATGGCAAAATGTGCTCCTGGAGCCTGGACATGCTCTCAACTCCACAGGTAGGTCTGTTTTCACCTATACAGGGGAAAAAAAAGCACCTTCAGTACAGCAGGATACCTGATTAATGGAACAGAGTTCCTAAAAGCCAAAACTTCTCGTCCTGTACAAACTAAAACCAATGGGTGCGCTTGAAAGAGTACAGCTTGCTTCCAGCAGTCTCTGCTAAGAGCCAAAACCCATTTCCTTTACCACAAATCATGTAATTATCATAATACGTTAATACATAGGTCAGTTTCAAGTGAAAATGAAATAATCCATTTTAAAGCACGGTAATTACAGAAGTCGCCTGTGGTATAAATTGTACTTACTCTAGAGCATTGGTTAACAAATACGGACTAGATTGCGCTGCTGCTGAATACACCCTAGGCACTACGGGTTTCCAAGGCACACAGTCAGAAAGCTTCCTTTGCTGCCTGCCTTCAACAGCCAAAGGAACAAACAAGGCAAATAAAAAATTTTAGAACTAATTTCACCCCTCTGGAATCTTTGCTACTATTGCCTTCTTTCCCCACACACCCCCCCTTGTATCAGAAATTAAAGGAAACATGGGAAAATCGTCCAAACCACTAGTGATTATAATAATGGAAACTAAACAAAGGATCTGATGCTGAAAAAGGTCTATGGAAATCATCTTTTAAGTGTTATCTTCTGGAGTAGTAAAATTCTATTACAACGCATCACTCATTTGTATACATAATTTCTTAGGAAAAAAAAATAATTTTTACTAAGCATCAAGGGATCTAATCTTGTTTCACAATGCTGCGTAGAAACTCCTCTTAATGATTCCATTAATCATGCATTAATGTGCAATTTCTATCAAATTATTTGCTTTTCAGTGTTGACACAAGAGGTGGGACTCCTCTGCCCTAACCTTAGCCATCTAAAAGTTAGGGCTGTGTCAAGTAGCTGCTACTAATTTGAGTTCCCTTTACACTTAATGTAGGGACAGACCGGGTGGGCACTTCTGGAGGATGGATGGCTCATCCCACCCCAGTGTGAAATACCATTTCAGATAGCCTCCCTGGGTACAAAACTGTCAAATCTTAGGATGGAAGGGGCTTCTGGAAGTCACCCCATATACTCCCCAAGTGAGGCCAACTTCAAAGTTATGAGCTCATGCTCATCTAAGACGACAGTATGGGTCATGTAGTTGTGTCCTGGGACTATGAGAAATCAATACTCTTCTGGAATAGAAGTGGAGGCATCTAAGATGGGCCAGACTTCGATGTTTTAGGCACGTGAATCCTTCCCGAGTTTCTCACTTAAACATCAAGAAGATAAATCCCGCCCTTATATATTCACTTACTGGAATACTAAATTTTGAAGCAGAGATTTGTGAACATCTCAGTTCCAGTACTTCATCACTCAGATGGAATTTCCCTGCTCCAAAACTGGCTTTCAGCAAGGATGGGAACACACCCCACATTACGCTGCAGTCTGGCGCACATCTCCCGGTGATCTGGAAAAGAAAGGCACAGGGCTTGATGTCAAGCTACATGCCATAGCTTTAAACTGGGAGGAGTAGAGTGTTGCTGATGTGTGTCAGTCTGAAACTTTCCAAAGACACAGATCCAGAGCACTTGTGTACAGCCACGGTGTAGGCGCTGGAAGGAGAGAGGCCACCACAATATCTGGCCCTGTCTCCACAGAGACACTAAATGATGATCTCACTCCAGAAGATTTTCACAGAAATATATGGCCCACAGGTGCTATGTCAATGCATTTTCCAGGTCTTGATTTGCCTTTTTAGTAAACCCAAATGTATTTCAAATAAAAGTATAAACCAAGAAAAAGTATTTCTCTATGGATTTGCAGCTCTCTCATAGAAATGCCCACTTTCTTTAGCTACAGCAAAAAATCCTTCTGAGAAAAACCTTTGGCTTTGGACCTAGATGATCTTCTAGGCTTTGGACCTAGAAGAATAGCAGCTTAGACGTTTTAAACATAGAAAACATACCCACTTTTAAATAGCTAAAAATGAAAATTGCTAAATCATTCAGCCCCTTTGTGGATTCTTGGGTTACACCACTTAGGCTGAAGAACCAGAAAGTTGTGCAAAATCTGCTTAAAGCGTAGGCCTCTTGCAACAGCCACAAACTGTTCATGCTGGTTGTATTTGCAACAGCCAAAACAGACATGCTGATTTACTTTGAAATAGAGCTACCAAATGAAAAAAGAAAATATACTTGCTGGTTTGTAGCTTGATGGTGGAGTCTAGAGAGAGTGTTCATGGTTACCTCAGAAAATCTCTGAAAAGCAATGCTTAGAATGGTGGTAGTGACAGGACCAAACTTCTTAATTTTATTCTGCAAAGGGAGAAATGGCACAGTCTGATAAATGCCTCAGGTGCACACAATATTACACGTGTTTCCTGACAAACAACTGATTTCAGAAATGTTTGTAAATAGAAGGGTATTGCATGTTTTATTAGACCCTGGTGCTGGCAAGTGTAACCATTAAGGTATTATCTTTAGTTTCTGCACCATTAGATTTCAAATTCTCACCTGTCATATCTGCCTGATTTAAGATGATGTATCAAAGACCAGTGCCTTCTAGCCGCTCTTAAACGTGTGACAGACAGCAGCGGGGATGGCAGGAGCAGTGCATCCTAGTGTCTGACATTGCATCATCTCACGACATCCTGTGTAGAAACCGAAGTCCTGTGGCTGGGTCAAATGATTTCTTCTTCCCGCTCTGCTACCCTGTGTAACATTTAGAAATTAATTAGAAAAAAACACCATCCAAACGAAAGGATGATTGCAGAATAATAACGAAGACCTGTTTTGGTAGGAGAGCATGGAGCTGGTGTACAACAAGTCCAAACCAGTGGCGGTTACAGGAATGGCTTTCCCAACCGGAGATGTCAACAACTTTGTCGTTGGCAGTGAAGAGGGAACAGTCTACACAGCCTGTCGCCATGGAAGGTGATGTTCAGCATTTTGTACTGCGTGCCTGTGTTGGCATGAGGTAGCCAAGTGTGTGTAAAGAGTGTTTCATGTTGTTTCTCTTGGATCAGCAGTGTCCGTACTGTTCTACTTCACACAACTTGGACAGGAGTTGCCTGACTGTGCATCTGTGCTACAGCCTGTTATACTGGGTCAGTTGCCCCAGCCTCCCCCTGTAGGTGGTGGGGAGCAATGACTGCTCTTGGGGTTTGATTTCTTTTACCTTTTTCAGACATCTGCCTGCAGAAGAGATGACTGGGACCACAGAAATGCCTCCTTCTCACCCATGAGGTGTGATGGATGTCTAGACAACTAGCTGAGATGTAGGTATCTATGTCTGGGCAGGTCGAATCAGGCCTTAGGAGACAGCTTTGTTGCTGGGTAATCAGGCCTCAACCACTCAAAAGAGATGGTAATCCACTTTATATTTTACCATCCTCAGCTCCATCATCAGTCTCCGCAGGCACACAGCAGACAAAAGCCACCATGGTCACATGTGCATGTGAAAAACATCCATGTCCCAGTGCACGGCCATCCAGCAATGGGTATTCCTCTGCGGCCCTGCAGGCTACATCCACGTAGCTGGGCTAGAGACTGAGCCCTGCTGGCCCCACTCTCAGGGGGCAGTTTGGACATGCCCACCTTCCCCAGGCAGCCAAGGGGGTTTTGTTTTACAGCCAGGAGTCACGCTACACCGTTTGCCCTCAGCCTGGGCTGCTGCTGGGTTTATTTGCTAAGATGGACGTAGCCGCAGTGTGCCACATGGGTACACAACCTCTGGCTGACCCGCTCCCAGGACTGGTGCCCTGTGCTCTCACACACAGTGGTCATATCCCTTCCTTGCATAACCCAAGCTGTAGTTTAATACTGCACGTTCCTTATTTTGCACCCTGTAAATCTGCAGGATGTTCGCATGCTTTGTTAGCTTCTGGTAGTAGTTTCATCCTCTGGGATGCTTAAAAGGCTTTTGTAAAGAACAAACTTTTTTCACTGATAGATTTAAAGCTCACCCCTGCACTTCAGTAGTTCGCAACATTCTCTGAGTTCCTATTTTCTCATATTCTTTGATTCTGTTGACCAAGCAGACATAGATACACTGGCTTAAGATTGTAAGGCTTCTTTATATAGAACTAATATAACTATTCCTAATGCTCTACAAATACTAGTTCACAAAGATTTTGTTCAATATCGTTTTTATTTTAAAATGGTTTTATTTTAGCCTGACCACTGGCAGTATTGCAAAACTGTGTCTATTTAGGCGTAATACTGATAGGCTGTGTGGCAGCTGATGGTTTGAGTTAGTCTTAGGCTGATAGGATAAATGAGGCATGCCAAAGGGTATTTCCCACTTCGGATCTTTCAGACATGCCTGGTTTGTTCCTCACAAGAGGAGGAAGATGCCAGATCCTCTGGTTAGCCCGCCCTTTTAGCAAACCTTCTGCTGCTCATCGACAAACACACTCTTTTTCTGCTCCCGCCTGACCTTCCTAGAGCTTTTTGCTATCATTCCAGAGGCTCCTGTGGTCTTCAGCCCAGCACAGTGGAGAACCATAAGTTATTCTGAAAAAAGGTGTGTCAAAGCACCACAGATACATAAGGTGTTTCAGTGATCCAGAACTCCCCTTATCCCACCAACTACATGGCAGACAGATGGGGATAACATAGGGGGTAACATAAGAGGTGTGCTGTGTACCCAGCACTGCACAACTCAGCCCCTGCTCCAGCACACGCTGAGAGGTCTGGCAGGGGAGCCTCAGTGAGGACACACTGTCACGGTCAACAGGAGAGGGGAGGGGACACCACGCTAGTAATATGAGGGGCCAATTTCCTCCAGTGCCACTCCTCATCTCTTTGGGGACGCTGTATTCGCACTGGCACAGAGCTGGCTTGTCAGAACTGTGGTTGTTCTTAATGTATTTTCTTCCACTGGCAATTTTTCTATAATGTAACTAAAAGGGTAATGTCATTACTCCCCTTCCTGCATGCACTGTGAGACAGCACTGACAACTGACCCACCGTCATTTGCTTCCAGGAAGAAGAAAACTGCGCATATTCTCTCTTGCGCAGTGTTGTATTTTTCCTTCCCTAATAGCTATTCTAGCCTCAGGCCGAAGAAGTGCACATCTCCCCTTGTTCGAAGTAATGGCTGCATGATACCTGATCGCAGGAAGAGGTTCTTCACTTTTTGTGAAAGAGGATTTGCTTCCTAATGATTTGATTGACTGCTGTGGAAAGTTATTTCAGATATTTAAGAGAAAGAGTTGCTTATGATAAGTCATTAACATATTTGCATTTTTACTTTAATGGTTATTCCCTGTGATAATGGCTTATTCAGAGACATAAGATATCATATAATTATAATTTAGAATTATTTTATAATTATACATAAATGTTATTTCAAGTGACAGTAGTAGACAGTGTATGTAAAAGTGAGTAAGGCAAGTCTTCAGAAGTAAGAGAAAGTCTCCCTGTACTGGATCCTGAGCGTTAATTGTGCCCACAGCAGTAAACCTTTGTGAGGCAAAGGCCTTACTGAAAGGAATTAAAATTATTATTTTAATTAAATAATGGAACTTTAAAAGGAAACAGGAACCTACGAGTAAAAAAAAATATCATGTTAAATCACCAGACATTAAATCACTCTCTGAATGCAAATTTCTCTTCTTCCTGCAGTAAAGCTGGCATTGGTGAAATTTTTGAAGGCCACCAAGGACCTGTCACAGGAATCAATTGTCACATGGCAGTGGGTCCAATTGACTTTTCCCATCTCTTTGTCACATCATCATTTGACTGGACAGTCAAGTTGTGGACCACAAAGGTGAGAAATCCGAGCTGGGGTGGGATGGGTAATGCTACTTGTGAAAATGCTGTTGTCAGAAATACCATTTATATCAAGTCCTAAGAATGAATTAATTGAAAGACTGTGCTTAGAATAGGTGTAGTGATAAAATTATAAGTAAATATATACCTAGTGTGGCTGTGTCAACCATATTCGCCCTGGAGTGTACACTGCCCTTTAAAAGTAGCTTCAGCTGGCCAGTATTAATCCTAGTGGTAAGCAGTTTCACTAGGCAGGGAGATTAAGATGTCTTGTACTGCAGGTACAAACAATCCATCCAGCACTCCCTGTGCAGGCTAAATTACAAAGCTAATACTGTGCACCACGGAGGTGCAGCAGCAGGAACACTTTCTTCTGATGAAGCAACTGGGGAAACACACGTCTGACTTAATGCAATCAATATCACTCGTGAAATTCATTGCTGTGGGAGGTTGTGATAGCCAAAAAGTATAAATTGTCCCAACGACATCAGACGCTGATGGCTGGAAGCAGGGAGGAAATAAATGCTGGAACTTACATACATGACCACCATGGATCTGTTGCTGACTGCTCTATGGATGTATCCCCGTGACCTCTTACAGGGAGAGCACTGTGAACAGCAAAAATGAACACACAGTCCCATGCAGCTTTGAAACCCCAACACCCCACAGAACTGTATGAATACAGGGTGATGACAGCATGAGCGAAAACTGTGGACAGACTAAACAGGCCAACCTGTTTCATTGTACAGGCTGAGTAAAACAGGAGAATGAGAGGTAAAATCCTAATTACATGTCATCTAAATGGTTATTTTTGTCATACACCAGAGTAGAGGACTGCCTTCCAAATGGCAGACTTTTGTCTTAACCATCTTTCTATGCCTGAGTTTGGTTCGCATCTTGAGCTGTACCCAGCAGAATTCCAGTACTGGAAGCTGCCCTCCATCAGGAAGTATCTCAGCGTGTGTTCCTCCAAGACATCAGGGCTTGGAGATGCTAGGACAGATGCACAGCAAATGTAAATACAAAAGTGATCAGAAGGGTTGATGTGACAGCCTTGTGCTGGAAATAGAAGTACAGTTACCTAGATGATAACTTTAATAACTTCCACAGCAGCTTCAAAATGCATTTGTTAATGACCTGATCCCATGTGCATGCTCATTAACAGGTATCTTTCCCTGATCAACAGTGACCACAGCTGACAGTTCTGTCTGGAGCATTACGTTTTAGGAAACTCCTTGTAAGGAAGGTGCATGATTTACCTAATTTGCATGTAACCACATGCATCAGCACACCCAGCCTTAACCAAAGTGGTCCAGGGGAGTGGCTATGGGCAGGCTGGAATGGGTCCGGGATGGGTCCTAGGTGGTAAATGTTAGAAAAGGCTGCAGGACAACCACGCAATGGAGAGCTTAGGTGTTAGCTGGTTGGGGCTGGCCAGGCTGTTTGGTGTCTGAGATGAGGGAGTTCTGGACAGTGGTAACTGGCGGAAAGGGAATACTGGAAAGTTGAAGTTGAAACTGAGTAAGGAGAAAAGAATTTGTGGGGAGTAGGGTGAAGATGAAAGCCAGGTACAGAATTCCAAACATACACGTCCAGAAAAGTCTAGGATGAATATCAGACCCTCAGCTTGAGGTTGAAATGGAAGTAAGGGTCTCATCCATCTGCATCTTAAAGGAAATTATATTAAGGGATAATAAGGCCTGTTTTTTCTTTTAAACTCCTGGGATTTTAGAAGTTAGCAGCAACACTAACACTTCATCTTTTGGGCACAAAGACGCTGCAGTTAGCAGTACACAGTTATCTTTGTGGAATAATTCAGTGCCAAAATTGTTAGGTCAGACTCTGTTCAATACAGTCAGTTTTCAAAGCACCAAACCATTTAAATTTCTAATATCTATCAAGCTGTGGCGGATCTGGCAAGAGGGGCTTCCTGAGAAAGCTGTTTGACCTAGCTGATGCGAGCTGTGTTGTGCATGTGACACACCACAGCACCACTCAGAGCTGGAAGCTGTGTTGCTGTATTGGATCGCTTCCTTTCTTCTGGAGCAGGTTTAAGCCACTGCCCTGTGAAGGCATCCTCAGAGACCCTAGACAAGTTCTTGAATTGTGATGAATGTTTTCTTTTTATTCTAGTTTGACTCCGGCAGAAGTTCCTTTCCATACTGTCTGGATAATTCTTTTGGCTGGAGCTATTACATATTTAGGTCTCTCTTTGTTCAGTTCCCATAGTCAGGGCCCGGTCAATCTGTGGGCTTTGAATAATCCCATCAGTATGTTTGGTTCTCTGAAAAAAATAGTGGATTGCTATGAAGCACTGAGCGCTACTGCTGGTTTGTGAGAGTTTACTCAGAATTGTTTTATTTCTTATTTGTAAATTTAATCTCTCTGTCAGCATCCAATGCCACACCACTTTCCTGCTTCTACCAGTGTTGTCTACTTAATCCTGTGCACATTATCCTCTTTGGTCATGAAATTCAATTCCTTTCTGTTTCACAGGTTCAGAGTCAATGTCCAATTGTGAAGTGAACCATAAAAGCTCTGTGTTTATATTGTCTATTGATGTTGTGTAGCACCCTGGGGTGCGTACAAGAAAGGCACTTTCATAGCAGGCATTTGACTGATGGATTGAAAGCATCGTCTCCCTTAAAAACTCTGGCATGACATTCTATAATCTGTTTTTGTGGTTAACATATTTTCTATCCAAAGGCAGTTCAACCAGGTGACTGAGGATAAGGTTTTCACTAATGGAAGAATGAAGGTTTTGTAGATAGCACTAATACAAGGTTCACATTATCACCCATCACATTAGCCAATAATTAAATCCCTGGGTGAAGGGTAAGTAACCAGAAGCAACAGGAAAAGAAAAATCACTCGATAGCCGGGCATTACCCGGTTCCTGATGAAGTCAATAGGGTTTTCAACTTGAATTCATGCTACACCATGTGGGCAAGCCTTGGATGCAGAGCTGTCAAAGGGAAGTCCTGATGTGAAGTGTCTGTGGAGCTCTGCCCTTAATTAGGTATTGTCTGTACGATGCTTTGAAGAGGTGAAGTGCTAAGTGGAAGTGCTAAGTGTTGTTAATTAATTAAGCATTAATCCTCATGAACGAATAGCATGAGGTTAAATAATGAAATGTAAGTATTGTTGTTATTATTACAGCAATTGCTGTTTGGCGTGTGAATTTTGAGGTACTGTCAAGGGACAGGAGTTATCTTGGAATTGTTAAAGCGTAGCAGAACATAAGCTTGTTTCTGCTGAAGCCTAGAAGACAGCTTGTTTGCTGCTGAGGGTGTTAATAAAGGTCTGGACAGAGGGCTGGATTTTGTTAGCTCTTTCATCCTCCACATATCTCCTTTATCTCTTATCCTTCCATTGAGAGGATGCATGCATCTATGCCTAAGTCATGCTCAGTTGACTAGCAGATTGGAGTACCTGTAACAGCATCGCTGTATCCTCATTCATGCTTACCTCCCTCTTTGCCTAATGTTTATGTCATGGTGGTGAGTGCCATAATCAGAAGGAGGGACAGAGGTGAGCAGACAGGTAGTAGGACTGCCACATAACCATTAGCAAGGACTAACGGAGCCACAGGATGTGTGTGCCTCCAGCGACAGACTACCTACTTTTGTGTCCGTGCTGTTTTGCCTTACGAGCATGTGCAGCAATGGTAGCTCCTTCCTAGCCCCTCTCCTTTGTCTTCTCTTTCTTACGCTCCTCACATGCTGCTCTTCTCTTTTGGTGTCCTGTATTGTTCCAGTCTGCAGTCTGTTGTGCTTTCTGAGAAACCACATTTAAAACAGAAAAAATTCACATTTCTATGCTATGTGCCTTCACGTATATTTCTGTACCTTCAATATCTCATGCCCATCTGTTTGCTGATTGTCTTGGTATGACCCTGACTCTTGGAGTAAATCATTTTACCTTGTACTTTCACACCTTCCTGTCAGCATATAATTTCAAACTCCACTGGTTTTAATATGGTCTAGAGGTTGAACAACTAACTCCTCGGATGTTAAGCTGAAGCCTATCACTACAACAGTGCAAAGAAGCATGTGGTGCTGGGGGTGGTGTTGCTAAAGATAGGTGCCTCTGCTCCCTCAGTCCCCTTCCCCAAAGGCCTGGCTGATAGGATTTGATAGGATCAACAGGCTCAGATTTTTTCCTAGCATAATTTCAGTCACATTAAGTGGGTGAATGGGAGCCTCTTGTGTTATAGATAGCATGGCCTGAAGTTAAGGAGTCAAGCAGAAATGTAGTCATGATAAAAAGACAGTAAACTTAGTGAACTATTACAACTTGGTGAATTCTTCCCCATGAAAATTGTTTTAACTGTAATCGGAAATGCTGGAGTCAAGGATGTGATTTAGTGTAGTCCCGCAGCAAATGACTAAAGCCGATCGCAGATTAGAGACGCCCATGCTAGTGGCCAATGGTGTAAGCATTCCCGCATTCCCCTGCCACATTCCCCTGCCATATTCCTATTCCAGTGAATATGCAGTTATTTATGAAGAGTGTGGGAGCTCCACGAGCGTATCCTGTAAGCCAGTGGTTTGGGCACCAAGCCACACTGCAGAGGTCTGCCCGAGTAGGACTGGAACATGTGTCTTCCCTAAGGGGAGGAAGCGCTGTGATGATCTTGCCATTTTGCTCTGAGCTGTATCTTGTGCCCATAAACAACTCTGTTTTCACTGAAAGTAGGATCTTCTCAGAGTAAAGCTTTGATTTTCATGTGCTGACACTTCCTGTTAAAAACCAGTTTTGTCCACTTGGGGCCGGCCCTATTTCTCCAGTTTGTAACAGGATCAGACTGGTCTCCGACAGTGAAATGGAGTGGTGAGGCACAGAGGTTGCTCATGTACCTTACCTTGCATACACTGAAGTGTGGATGAGAGCTGGGCTTAGTGAAATTTAGACAGTATTGCTACTTTCAGTCTAGAACCTGTTCCTTCTTAATGTTATTTTCTAAGCTTTCCTAAGTCCTTTGGGCCATATTCAGTC